CATTTCATTCTTCTGTTGTGGTCCTATTTCAAAGCCCTGATATCCACACCTCTGAGAAAGAGACGATGATCCATCAAGCTATTCTGAGTGTGGCTGTTTGGATGAAAAGTTAACAGAAGAAATAAACTGGACTGTTACCTTGACCTATTTGTCTGTCATTCCCTCTCTGCCTTCAAAATGCCACACCCACGTTTGTACTTGCACTTTTGTATTAGGCCTATATATCCATTGTCACCAGGAAAATGGAGAGAAATAGATGAAAGGTTAGTTATGATTTAAATAAATGTATGAGTTAAAGTGTTGGTGTATTAAATTGAAATATGAGACATGGTAATATTTTGACTATATTTTTGACTTGCAATGAGCAGGTTTTTATAATGACTACTTTTTTTTCCCTTCATGGTGGACAAAGACTGTCACTTAAATAAAGCCTTTCTCTTTCTTTACAGACATGTGGGTAGATTATGAGCTCTTGGGTGGCTCTGCTGTTATACGTCTCTGTCATCTGTCCAGTCCAGGTTTTATGGATCAGAGAGGGGTCCCCCCTTTCTTCAAATATACACACTCCATCATACTTCCTGTTGCAGGGCTCATGCTGCAGTTTGACTCACACTTCACTGACTGGTTTTAATGGGCCACACTCCATAGAGATATTAGAGATTTTTTTTCAAAGAGGGGAACAGGACTGAGCGTGGAGTGTGCATGTGGGCTGTAATTGAATAAAACCCAAATATGGCTGAGAGTGCCAGGAAAAGCAAACTGCTCCCTGAGGGGTTACTGGATGGTTGTTTAGGTGGCGAACAGCTGTTTACAGATGAGCCACATCACCCTTACACCAGCGGCTACATCCGGAGAGAGATTTCCTCTACATGTTCCTCTAGAGTGGATAGATGTAACTACAGTACAAAAAAAAGACTGTAAAAACTTGTTGATGAGCTGAAATAAATGCCTGTACACCTTTTGCATGGTTATTGTGTTAGATATTCCAATATAAAGTTTGGGTTTCTTCTTGTGAGGAGTGTTATTTTGCATTAATGGCAGGAGGACACTGCAGGAAAGGAGATAAAGAATAATCACACAGCAAATTTGTTCTCATCTCTCATTTAACTACAATACTGCTTCTACATACTGATGTCGAGGCATTTTTACTGTTTGAATTAGACCTATACACATTCACCCTGTTTCACACTGACTAATCTCTTACAAACACGCAGATACAAACTTTTTATACATGTGTAAATGTACTTTAATCAGTTTGGGTTTGCTGGTGATAAAATGTTATTAATGGCGTTGGGTTTGCTGATTGTGTGTGCCTTGTTCGTCTGATGATTCCAGGATGATTGTAATTTCTTTCTTCTTTTCTTTTTTAATTTCTGCACACTGCACATCACAAGTGGCCTTTGCCCAGGGAATACTGATTTTAAAAAGGTGCTTTTCAGCTTTATCTGGTATAGCACATGTATTGTGCATTGCCTCTGCTAAATAAATAATAAAAAATAAATAAGTTATAACCATCAGATGGAGTCCATCATTCATTTACAAAAACCATTTTGCTCATGCACACTATATGAAGAGCTGTATGCATTTATACAGAATGAGCTAACAATTAGACTCCACTTTAAGCTACAGCATTAAAATAGTGATAATACACATAAATGCCTCTCTTAAAATTGACATTCTGCATAATGACTTTACCTTTTATGTTTCTGTATATTTCCCTGCTCATACATTTACATTACCTAAATAAAAACATGATTAGGCTAAGTGGTTTTTTTTTAAGTTATCAAACGACCAGAATCCTTCCTCCCTAAAAGCAGGCGCACGTCTGCCGCTCATATTTCAACATAACACAACAAACACCACCAAGCACGTCCGATTAAAGCCAGCGGTGCAGTTTCAGTATTACCTGACGGCCAGCCGACCACATGTATTTGATAGTCATTCTGAACACTGCTGCGGTCATGTGCTGCTCATTTAGGCTGCAGAGGCTGACAGAACCAGCGCGTGCTGTGGCACGGAGGCCTGTTTTCAAAGCAGGACCTCTTTCAAACATACTGTGGAGGAAGTCACACTCAATCAGTAAACAAAGGAGGGGGAGATCAAATGTAGGCCTACACAAGATCAGATGTGTTCTGATCTCGTGTTTGCATCTTATTAATCATCCACAGCAGAATAAACGCAGTGATGTCGTCACATCTGAACAATTTGCTTAAATCCATAGGCCTTGAACATTTAGTTAAAAGCTGCACATTTGGATTGTTGCTTCAAATAACTGTTGTTCAATGATCTTATTTTTAGGCTTATTTTTTTCCTCATTCTAATCTTTAAAAACAGAGACACAATTGCCCCAAAATAATCTGATATTATTATTGATGTTGTTGTAATATTATCAGTTGTGTGGAACTATTTCAGGAATATGACATTAATACATTGTTTATTTTTATTTATTTATTTATTTTTTTTTTTAAAAATCTAAAAGAAAAGTCCTGTTAGATAGTACATGATGATGATGATGATGATGATGATAAACCCTGTTAATTCAAATTGCAGACTGTACATTCAATCACGTTTTATTCCAAACATATTAAAGAACTGTACAAAACCAGTTTTCAAAAACAAATAGCTGAATATGGAGGCCTGTTTGCCATCATTAAAAACTGTATTTTACACAATGTACCATGAGGTTTGTTCTCAGGCTGAAAGAAAAAAGATTCCGTTCAGGACAGGCGGGGATCACTATCAAATTAAATTAGACGGAACTTTTATGATCCCAGTGGGAAAATTGGAGAACTGAGAAACAGGGTAGCTGGGTATCACTCCGTGCAGCGAGACAGGAGGTATGAAGGAGCAGTTTGGAGGCAGAGATGGGGCCACGGCGCAGCGTCCATGGTCGAAATGTTCAAAGGTTAGACATGAGGGGAAATTCTTGGAGAGGAGCGAGGAGAGTGCAGGTATGATGCTGCTCACAGGTGGGATGCTGGGATTTGTGTGGGAGCTCAAACGACTCCTTAAACCCAGGTCTTGGTACAAATCAGGACCCTGGAGACAAGAAGTCATCCCGTGCGCTCCGAGGAGAGGAAAAACTGGCATCAGGCTGCGCTCCTTCGCTCCAGAGTCCTTCAGCGCTCCCAGATAGAAATGTTGCCTTTTGAAGCGTTTCCTCCGCCGGAGAAAACTCCCGTTTTCAAACATATCAGCCGACATGGGATCCAGGGTCCAATAATTTCCCTTCCCAGGATTCCCAGGCTCCCGGGGCATTTTGACAAAGCAGTCATTCAGAGACAGGTTGTGACGGATTGAGTTTTGCCATGCAGGAAACTTCTCACGATAATACACAAAGCGCTGGCTGATAAAATCACAGATCTCACTGAGGGTGAGTCGCTTTTTCGGGCTCTGGAGGATGGCCATGGTGATGAGAGCGATGTAAGAGTACGGGGGCTTCACCGAGGCGGTTCTCCTGCCTGGACCATCCTGTAACCGGGCTGCAAAGTCTCCCTCCTCCCGCACCTCAGGAGTGAAGGATGCAGCGCTCTGCTCAAAGCCTGAATTACCCGCATTTATCACTGAAAAACCTGTGTTCTTCACATCTTCATCCCTGTCCGTCTGTCCCTCCACGTCAATGTCCGTCTCCTCCATGAGTTTGCTGTCCAGAGTCATGGTCCGGAGTGTCCGGTGGCACGGTGGCCCTAACAGGCGTGAATCTCGCCTGTCTGGGGCAGGACAGGCGCAGACCCCCTTCTCCCCTTTCATTCACAAAAAAAAGTTGCGCATCTGACTACATCTGAGACTTTTTAGCCTCCCACTCTAAACCTTCTCCTCCTCCTCCTCCTCCTCCTCCTCCTCCTCCTCCTCATCCAAGCAGCCTGTCTCATCTAAACAACTTTGCAACTATAGTTCTCACTAAATATCATTGTATGATATTTGAAGGTAAAATATCAATGTTATCCACTGATCTCAAACGTCTTAAAGTCATTTTATATACCACTTGTTTGCATTTCCCTCTATGGTAAACACGATTAGCTCTCTTCTTGCTTTATTCTGGCTCAGTTTCATGGAACACATACAGATATGCACACAAGATCCACAGACATATAAAATAGATTTAAAAATCTATAAAACAAACAATCAAACAGACCATGCAAGCTCACATAACACAGTGTACATCAGGTGACATAAGTCCTGGAGCATGTCCAGCCATCATCACCAAATCATCAGAGATTAAAGTCCCTATAATCAGTCTCCAGTGCTGAGTCATCCTGAACATTTAAATGGCATTCAGGATAAATTAATTTCTCAGTCTGTTTGCTGCGGCCTTTATTCCTCTCAATCTCTGATTTTTTTTATAACAAGGACTGAAAACAGACCAAACCCAGCTGCATAATGCTTCACTTTACTGGATGCTTTTCAAATATGCAGGTTTAGATCTGATTTTTACATCTATATATTTTATTGTACTGTAGTTTACTGGCTCAATCCACCGGTATTCATTAAGGCTCAGTGTTTTCTGTTGATATTTAAGTGACCACAGCAGGTGAGTCTGTTTTGGATTGAAATATGCATTATGTAAAAATGAAGCAAGCACATTCATTTTATTGAGCTTGTTTCTATCTTTTATGTTCTTGGCTTAGACAGCGCTCATTTCCTTCGGTGTTGCTCATTGCCGGATGGTTTGGCACGTGGTGACAGAGGCAACTCTGGCTGTTTCAAATAAGAGGAAGACGTAATCCGTTTTGAAATAATAGCTGCACTGTATCAATTCGTGTGAGGCCACCCACTTGGCAAACAGGCCTGAACTGCAGGGTGGGCTGAGGAAACTGTGGGAAGTCTCATTAATGAACAATTCTTCCCTGTGCTTCTCCGTATAGTTTTATGTGATATGTGTATACCCGTCTGAAACTATTCTACCATTTTATAATCATTGCATATTCTCATAGGGGATTTCTATCAAGAGCAGGCCTTACCTATATACCTAGCAAGAACCCAGGAGACAAATTGGATGTTTCATACAGAATTTAATACAGACCAAACACCATGCAAGTTTACACAAAAATTGTTATTTGTTTTCATACAAAACACAGCAATGCTAAAGAAATTAGTGCACCAATTAAACTGGCAACAACCCAAACAAACAACTTAATAAATAAGCCACCAAAACCAACCACAATTAGAAAAAAAGACAACAAATAACTTAGTTTAACTTGTGCGACTAAATGTTTAACTACAAACCTAACAGACAGTCTTGCAGTCAAGGTCAAGACAAGTAAATTGTGTCTGCAGTTAATAACAGTGAATGCAGCACTGAGCTCAGGTTGCAGTTTCTGGTCCTGTACAGAAATAACTTTCTACTGCAGCCATCTGGCACAGTTGAACATTAATACACAAGCAACACTGAAGCTATTTAGATGAAAAATGTCAACAATTAAGACTAAACTTTCCACTGAATGCATCCACTTCTTACAGTAGCTCTTCAGTGTCCTATTAATACTACATCAACTGTCTGTGCGTCATCACTATATCCCTCCTCGTGCAGAGAGAAAAATAAACCCCAACAACCGTATAAGATCCGATGCATACAGGTTAGCAGGTAGCACAAATGGGATCATGGCAGTCAAGATCAAAGTACAGATCATTTTTCAGACATCCTCCATTAAGAGTTTTACAAGTTTTTTTTCTTTTATGTTTTTCACCTGTTTATGTTTTTCCCTGGTGTATATGGCAGCCATAGAGCCGAAGGGAATAAGCGTCGTCTCCTGAGGTACAGCATTTAAGTAGTGACACTAATTTAATAACTGAGTAAGATGTAAGAAGCTGCTTCTGCTGTTCTTTTATGTTTGCATTCTGTAGTGAATGGTCACGGACGAAGAGCTACGGGAGCAGAGAGTGTGGTCTTGAAGTGTTGTGTGCAAGTGTGTGTAGAGATAAAAACCTTTGCTCTGTGTATGTTCCCTAGGTGGTGTGTTTCCGCTGAGCTGAGGTCAGCCTCACAAAGTTTCCACACTTCAGGCAGCATGAGTTGGAGTTCCCCTCTTTCCTAGGGATATGCCAGCAGTTGACACAGCGCACTCTGTACTTCTTATACCTTCAAAAGTCAAGACAGGAAAAAAATTACAGTGGTGATTAAACTTTTTTCTTAGTTAGTATTTATCAGTGACATGTTTGAAAAGTCCCCGTTTGAAACGCCAATCTAGGATCACTCTAACAGTGACTCAGCATCATTCCTCTTTTCAGAGGCAAATTAGTGTTTATTACTTACAGGCTAAGAGTATGAAAGACAAAACAAAAGACATTCAACACATTAATACCAAGTGTTTCCTACAATCATCCTCAGATTATTTGTTGCAAATGTGCAGTGATGTATCTCATGTAAGCAGTAAACTGTGTAACAGGTATTGAGACTTTAATGAGTACACATTAAAAGGGATTTACTTTAGTGTACCTCTGCAAGTTCTTTTCTTTTTTTATGAATACAACAGAAGAAAAGAAGTAAAACATATTTGACTTTCACCCTTCCACCAATGAAATACAGTGCCGACAATGAGCTGATGGATGAGCTGTGTCACTGTTCTGTGGTCGTGGCCACTACATTATTGTTACAGTTGATTGCTGATAGACAAAATAAACTGACAAAGATGAGGGGAAAACCGAACAATACCTGGATACAATTATATACAATCAAATTCAATCTAATCCTTTATAAGTATTACAATTTGGACAATATAATGTGTCTATATAATTTACTTTATGGACTAATCATAGTCCATATGGGCAATCAATCTTCATGGGCTAATCATTATTGGCCCCAATTTTACAGTCAATGTGGAAAATCTAACTCTGTGGAAATATATTTCTGAACATCTGCTTTATAGTTAAGACTAAAGTAATTTACATCAAAATGTGACTTTAGGCTCCGCTCTTGATTTAAAAGATATGCCATTGCAAACAGCTTCTTGTATGTGTTTTAAAACATTTAGCAGCCAGCAGTGTTAATATGAGCTACCTTATTCCACAGGCATTACAGAGTGGGGTCCCGTCCTCTGCATCCCTCCACATGGGGGTCTTCCTGGTGCAGCATGATGCACAGACTTTACCCTCTTATGAAACAGAAAGGAAACATTATATTAAGTTAGCCTATTGCTACAGTAAATTTGAACTGAGCATACTTAAAAAACTTTTCTATCAAAATACACAAAGTGCTTCTGATGCCACCAAAGTTTTTTTTTTTTTTTAGAAATGAATTCTACATTTTAGTGAAAAGATGAATACTACAGTACGATCTGGAGGAGTATTATGCATTTTTAGCGTCATTTTATGACTCAGAGATTAAGTGACCAAAAAACTGATTGAATACAATAATGTCCACTAGGTGAAAGATTTTCTCATTTGTGAAAAAATACACACAGCTGTACATGCATATTGAGTGTACATGTTGTAACATTTTTGTTTCATTTTGCTGTTAATCACTAACATAAATTAACAAGGCTTTATATCTGGGTGGTGTCACAGAAGATACTCGGCTGTTTGGTCTCTGAATGTTGGAAATACAAACATGTTAATGTTCCTTTTTTACCAAAAGGAGAAGCATTTGCAATTTCCCAGTAGTTTCTTTTATAAAATGTGCTATGGAGGAAAGATGCTTATCACTGCAATTATTTGAAATGACTTAAATTTTGATACTGCTGCTACTGAAAACACAGCAACTCAAAACATTGGCTGTGCAGGTGAAAGTAAAAATTACATGTTGAGTTTATATTCTGTTTCTTGGTCTTAAGGGAACTAATTGGTACCCATTATGGTTTTTTCTGATGTTTGCACAATAGTTTCCCTAAATATTCATCAAATGTGCTCCACCTGTCCTGACTGACGCTGCCAAGTTACATGTTTTGATGTGGTAGCGTCCTCTAGTGGAGCAAATGGGTATTTCATGCAAATACAAACAACACCAACTTTATTACAATATAGAGTAATGCTTCTGATGCATTCATTTTGAGCATGTAACATGGCAGAATTTATGTCGAACATGTGTATGGAAGTAGTATTATATAATTATTTAGCTAATTTATATTATGTGAAGTCTCTTCTTTAGATTTTCCTTTTTATTTCTCCCATTAAAGAATTTTGTGTGGAACTGTTTCTTACCTGAACTGAGGGGCTCAGGATAGAAAGTGTTGTAAATTATACAGCTTTAACAGCTTAATCCCTGAGACAAAATTGTGATTTTGGACTCTATACTGTAAAATATTATGGTATGGTATATTATAAGGTATATTTTAAAATTAGATCAGTTTAAATTGCAGGGGCTCTATATTCTTGTCTGATAAGCCCATAAAAATGGCAAAATAAAGCTTTACAGAACAGTGGGACTTTAGTGTTACTCACTGGAAACACTGGATGTTAGGTCACTCTCCTCATCCGAGGTGCTACTTTTGAGGGACTTCTGGGACATCCGTGTCCTCAGCCTCGGTTTTCTCACACTTTTTCTGAGCTCCTTGCTGCAGCAGACACCATTCATGTGAGTTTTCATCCCCACCTTCTAAATGCCCAAGCAAACATGTAATGAATCAGTTACTACCTGTACTTTGAAGTAATGAGGAGCCGACACTGTTCCATATTGTCGTCCAGCTGAGTGTCAATCCTGAACGTCACCCCCTGGAAGTCTGGGTCTTGGATATTAGCACTCCGGCTAGGATGTGGTTGTTTTCTAGGAGTCTTGGTTCTCCACTGCTGGGAAGATGAAGGAGCAATTCCTTCCTTTTGCGCTAACCTGGGTTTGGGTTTTGATGTCTCAGAAGGTGAAGGGTTTGTTTCTCCATTACAGCTTGATGTTATCAGTTTTGCAACTGGAGGAAATTTTTCCTCTGTGAGGGCGTGTGAGCATTCTGGTTTAGATGCTGTGATTTTATCATCTTCTTTTGAAAGTAAGTGACACTTCTCTGTAGTACTAAATAAAAGTGATGCTGATTGTGAAGAAGGCAGGACAGAGCTTGAAGGAGGCAGCTGGGTATCACGAGGGGGCTCTATAGTCAATGCAAGGTTTGCATTGTGGTCTAGTGTTAGTACTGGCTTTGACAGAGCTACATGTGCACCTTCACTGGAGTTAAAAGTCAGTTGGGCATGAAGGGATGCGTAGGTGATGTGTGTTTGTGACAAAACATTTTCAGAGAGGGGTACATGCAAACTATCCTGTTCAGAAGAGAAACAATCCTTACACTCCTGGTTCCACTCAAATTGTCTGCAAACACTGAACACTGAAGCAGTGCCTGATTTTTCAGCAGTCTGTGACTGAACACAACAGCTCACCTCTGAGTCTTTCACACAGCACCGTGGTTTATAACCATTGGCTCCTCCACTGAAGTCCCCTCTCACATCTTCCACAAGACTGACACAGGCTGGGATTTCTTGCCTCTCGCAGATAAGAAGAGATGGCCTCAAAGTGCATTCAACACTTACATAGTCACCCCCAACTCCCTGATCCGTTAACGTTACATCTGCTCTTGCAGTTGATGATTCAACAATTGAATGACCCACTTTTGTGCTGGAAGACACTAAACATGGGTCTGACTCCTCCACATCTCTTTGATGCAGGAGCCTCTCACACTGCAGATTGATCAGACTCAGTGCTTTCCAGGGGCTATTGCATTTAGGGTGTGGCTCAGCAGAAGTTGAGACCTTGCTGCTGTGACTTTCCTCCTTCACTTTTTTCATCTGGTTATGAGGCGACATATGGGACAATCTGTGCTGGCGGGAACTATTAGAGATTTGAATCGCATGGGCATCCTCTTCCTCTTTTTTAACTACAAAAGAACTTTGCCTAGAAGTCTCATGTAGCCACGAGGAGGGTGAGTTTGTGTCCAGGAAGCTGTTGTGGATGGGAGATGCTAGCTTGGAAACTTCTTGGAAAAGGTAGAAGAGAGCTGAGTGGGAGGCATCATGTTCAATGGTTCTCTGGGTTCCCTGGATGAAAGCTGCTTGTGTCCTCGGTCCTGTGCTCATGTTGAGGAAGTATCTGTAGCATAAAAACAAACAGCTTTTAGATCAGTGGGACTAGTTCCCAACCTGGGAGTCAGGGCCAGCTCAATTGAACAAATATTACTCAACTGAACTGTTGAAGTGGATGTAAATATTGATTCATATTATGATGTCACGGGTTAAAAAGGCTGGGAACCACTATTTTAGAGACTGAATGGGATTTAAAACATAGAATATTACACCATTTGAGCTATATTCATATTTACTTATATTATTCCTACATTTGAGCTAACAAGTTACATAGGGTGCTGGTGTTTTACAATACCACAGAGAAAGCAGATAAGCTAGGGCTATTACAGTGTTTAAGATTTTTGTTTCCAAACTGTGGCCGACAGTGACAGTGATGTTAGGCTGCTAGTTTTCATGAAATGTTTAATACGGCCAACATTATTAGCGTCATAACCAACATGGGCTAACATGAATCATCTGGAGTCACTTTGGCGGGCTATTTAAAAGCCTAACAACGTCTTGCTGTCATATGACATGAAGCCGACTGTGTAAAAAAAATACGCATTTTATCAAAATGTAACCAATTTTAACTCACCGGAAGAACTGTAACAACATGTCGAGCTTTCTCTGCAGTTTAAACGCATTTCAAAACATAAATGTAGCCACTGAATGTCGAAGACTTTCATGGTTTTGGTGCAGTTTGAGGGTCGCGAGCGCAGAAGTAGGTCGGATGGATATTGACACATCAGAACTGAATATGACTGTAAGGTTATATTCTTCCACCTGTATCGTCTCATGTGTGCATCAGAAGGCTGTGGTCTCACTTAGGCCTGAATGTTTTGGACTAGACCTACAAAAAAGGGTGAAGATGGTCTGTTTAAGTCGGTGTAGAGTGCGTGTTTTGTAACTAAATTTGAATTACTATATGGTACGGTACTTTATTGGCAATCTGACGCATACATATTGTTTGCTTGTAGTTGTAGATCCACCCGAGGGCACGACGGGCAATCTGTACCTTAAGTAAAATGGTCGCATTTTCCAGATCCGTTATGCTTTACCCATACAACGAGCCCTGTATTCACACTTAAATTGAAATATCATTCTGATCTGTCTTGGCCTCTCTAACCACGTCTTTATCATTAGGGCCTGCAGGGATCAGTTCACAATGTTGTCATTATCAAAGTCCACCCAGTTAACCTGTGATCGCTGTGCACAACTGTTACTACTCACCTTAAATCTTCAATTCGATCATCAACTAGCTAAATGATGAAGTGTGCTAAGTTACTGGCAAGTCAGCCCGCTGGAGCTGGTTGCTGTGATGGGGCGTGTTTGGGACCAGGAGGAGTTACACGGCTGTTTTCAGTTTGCTAGATTACACCTGCTGGGGTATATAAATGCTGCCCACACTCTGTTCCAGTTTCACTTGGTAGCTGCTGCAAAGCACGATTTGCGACACCTGTTTAGATGTTTGCTGGGTAAAAGTTACATTTTTTTGACTACTAATGCTATGAACTAGCTTTTATTAACGTTCAGATAATATACAACTGATTTTTGTCCCCTTTGAGTCCTTGCAGTGGTGTTTAATGTTGCTGGGTAATGAAGCAATGTTCAGCAAGAACTTCTTAAAACATTTTATTGCACACTTTAAATATTTGTAATTTCAAGACATGATATACCGAACAGACTTACATTTGTGCGTAACGACAAGTACAGTAGACTTAAGTAAAGGGTAGGTGTGGTAAACTCATCCCATGGTAACATGAAGCCCACCAGCTTCAAACAGACCTTCCTTCTGCTCTGGATCAATGAACACCTGAACCAGGTCAACTAATCAAGCCTTAATCACTGGCACCTGTGAGGAGGTGCTTTAAAATGTATTTTCCATCTGACACTTAACACAATTCACCTTTAAATGTATTGCAGCCTTTATAGTGGATAAAATGTAAATTTCAACAGTGCAAATACTGATTTACTTTGACAGCCCACCCCTTTAAGCTTCAGGCACCTTCTGTCTTTCAAATACACTTCATGATATATGGCTGCTGCTTCTTCTGTGCCTGGCTTCAGTACCATGCAGAAGAAATCATTTGAGGTTTATGACTAGGTGCTAACTATAGTCAACGGGTGCTAATTGTTTAGTGATTACAACACCTACAAATGAACTTGGTACATAAAATGAAGTAAATACTATGCATACAATATCTGACTAGTGATTCAGAGTGACAATGGTGGACCTTCAGAAATGACTGAGAACATCATCTTGTGATACTTGTGCGTACATGAGCTGTAACAAGGAATGTTCCATTAAACAGCACAAAGATGAACTTTGTTAAAACTTGCTCTGCAATGTATAACAAACATAAAATGGCTCTGAAATTTTCTTGTTTTTCTAACAAAGAACAGTTTGTGAGATTGAATGGCATCTTGACGCTGGCCTAGAAATACTCCACATAAATAAATACATCATTGGTTAACCCATCAGTTTTTTTTGGAAGTAACCATTAATTTCACCTTCAGTGAGACTCGTATAGTGTCTGACTCTGCCTGATGTCACCTGCAGGCCTGTCCTGTCATTGGTTAACTGTGGAATTTGTCAGCCGCCAAGAAGCCTTGGGAGTTGCCACTGACTTTACTCTCCTAGCCGTGCATCTTTTCATGGTCGCCCCCTTACTCAACCAGCACACATGGTGTCCAGCTTGCAGCGCCGCCCTCTCATTCTTCTCCAGCTTTCATCATCTCCTCCTTTTCTCAGTGAGGTTTGGGCACATGGCCATCCACGTAGAAGTTCCTGGTGACTTTGGGCAAGGTGAGCTCCATGCCCTCAAGTTCTGGAGTGAGAATAATCTGGCATCCCAGCCGGGAGTTCTCCTGAAGCATGGGTGCCATGTCCAACATGTCGTCCTCCCTAAAGCGCCAAAATATCTGTCAGTACTTACAGTGAACTGTCTTTTACCCCAGTACACACATTTTGTTTTAATTCAAATGTCAGCATTAAGGATGATATCGTTTGGAGCATACCTACCTCTCCACTGGTTCTGGCAGTTTGTTGAAATGGGCATCACTCACATATACCTGACATGTGGAGCAGGCCAGTGATGCCTCACAGGCTCCTGAATGAAAGAGACACACAAATAATGAGTAATAATATCTCATAACCACCCTTCAAATATTTAGGAAACAGCTTTGAGTGTGTTAAATGCTGACCTTCCAGTTCAATTCCATGCTTGTGAGCCAGATACAGGACATTATCTCCCACTTTGGCCTTCACTGGGATCCTCTGGCCAGACCGATCTATATACACCACATTCACCCTGAACAGCAGTGAGTTAAAACACAATTTAGCTTTATTAACAATCATACATTTGAACTTATCTGACAGTTTTTGAAAAAGTTTCAGTCACCATTCTGCCCTTTAAATGCTCACAAAATAGACAGTAGAGTAACATTATGTTTCATGCTCAGTACTTACCCATGCAGTGTACTGAGTACAAGATTTCTGATCACACACACTCATACAAAAAACTTTGCTATGTGACTGTTTACTTTGGCTACACACAGTTAATACTACTTTGTGGGGTCTATTACCGAAAGCTGCTGGCTAAAGTTCAGATTTCTGTTGGTGCCTCCAAAATCCTCTGTCAATAAATTATGTTTACAGAGCCCAGCAAGTATCTGGGGTAGGCATTTGATATTATGTACACAATTACTATCAGTATTCAGTAAATGGTAAATGGACTGAACTGACATGGTATTTTTCATCCTTAGTCAGACAGGAAAGCACCACTACCAAGAGCATTCAGAGTACAGTGTCACTGCTGAAAGACACTTTGACATGTGGACGGGAAAAGTCAGGGAGTCTGCGATTAATGGATGACGCTCCACTTTCTGAGCCACAGCAGCCACAAAACCTGTACTAAAAAATGTATTGTTGTGCAAGGAATATAATTTTAGGTGTACCCTTAAAGGATCGCTGTGTATGATTTAGGGGGATATATTGACAGACATGGAAAACACTCTTTCTTTTTAGTTGGAACTGCTTTATAAAGTGTATTTACCATAAACTGTATCAATAATGGCTATAGTGACTGTGATGTCACCCACTGGTTTGTGGACCGCGGTTTTGAAGCCTCAAGTCTGGCATTTCAGCCGTCTTCAACCATCTTGGTTTTCTGGAGCCAGAAGTGACCATATCTGGGTGAGAGGCTGACACTGTGGACGAGTGAGGTATGGATCTGACTGAGAAGCCAAGGACACTATCAGCAGACAGCCTGTCACTCAAGAGGTCCCGCCCTTAAATATATGTAACTTGGGCCTTGACAAAATGTACAACAGGTGAAACATATAAAAAAAATTCATCCCCTGTGCAGTTGTCATGAATGTTGAAATATGCTGTTGAGACCTAAACAGTTTTTCCCCAGGGTCTGAACATGTTTATTTCTGCTGTAAAGTTTAACATGGGGGTCTGGGGGGGATTTAAACTGCAAGTTTTTGGCACTTCTGCATTGGCTTCATTTTTCAGCCTGGGAGGTTGCAGTTTGTTTTAGAGAGGAAGAGACTGTGAATAATTCCGCTCCAGGAGAAAACCCCCTCAATGTCTGGATCTTAAGTTATTGGAGAAAAAAGGTGAGCACACATTAGCAGGTGCTAGGATAATGGCCCGTCTCCAACACGCAGAACAGCATTAGAGAAACACAGGTTTGTAACATGAAACTGCTATCTTCTGTGTTTTTACAGCTCTACATCACCAGATCTGTTTGTTTTGGAGAAGAACCTGAACGGATAATTCGGTTCCCATTGAAAACCTCCTGAACATCTACATCAGATAAAAGGTAAATGGTAAATGGACCTGCATTTGTATAGTGCCTTTCTAGTCATCCGACCACTTTTTACACTATGAGTCACATTCACCCATTCACACACATTCATACACAGGTGGCCGAGTCTACCATACACACTAATGGAAGCATCATTGGGAGCGATTTGGGGTTGAGTATCTTGCTCAATGATACTTCGACATGCAGACTGGAGGAGCCGGGGATCAAATCGCTGATCTTCCAATTGGTGGACGACCCGCTCTACCTCTGAGCCACAGCTGCCCACACACATTAAGTTATCAGAGAAAAAAGGTGAGCACTAATCGGCAGGTGCTGGGCTAGCGGCCTTTATGCGACATGCTGAACATCATCGAAGAAACGCTGATTAATAATGTGAAACTGTTTTATTCTGGGTTTTTACTTTTTTTAATCATCTGGTCTGTTTGTATTGAAGAGGAGGAGACCTCTGTGTATAACTCAGCTCCCAGTAAAAATCTTCTAAACAATGAACACTGATGAAATTCTAACTCGGAGAAATTTCAGCTGGTTACCATCTGCAATCCTCACCACTAGATGTCACAAACTCCCCCTAAATCTATCACACTGTTTCTTTAAATCTATCATTTCTGCAAAAAAAAAATACTTCACTCAAATGCTGCATAAACCTAAGTCTATGTTCGTGATGTAGTCCAAATAAAAAAAAAAATGCAAGCTTAGCATGACTCAGCAACAATCTGAACCATCTTCCCCTGGAGATTAAATGTAGCCTCCACAGACTTTAACTACACAGTTTTAATGGTTGACAGTTGTAGCTGTCGTGCAGTTTGTATCCGTATCACCGTATCGATTCACAATAATAATAACCCCCCCCCTTAAACTTACACATCCTCCGGGTCCTCTGCATTGGAGCTCCCCTCCTCACTGTGGTAAAGACCTTTAAAAACACATAAAAGCAAGAACGGGAGTGTGAGTGTTTCTGCTGTCAGTGATGATATCAGCTCCTCCGGACGGTACCAGATGCGGAGTATGTTTGACTTGTTGCACGAAGTTTCACAACCCCATCTGGGACTGCTGATGTAAAGTTACACAAGTGTTATTGAGCGGTCTTTCAACTCTAATAACTGCTGACAGCATTACACCACCTGCTAGACAAACTTTGCTGGCATAAACAACAGCTAAAACTCTGGTACGACACAATTAGCACTTATTAAGACTTATCGTGGACAGATAATCCCGAGAGAAGAAGCATCCTCTGACGGAGGCTAAAGATGTTAGCAAACTGCACCAGTCACCTTTACTCGTCTGCAAGTGTCGATTTATGGTCCGGAAGCTGTCAAAGGAGCCACTCCTCTGTGAGCTACCCACGCTGCTCCCACAGCCCTTCAGCCTGTACAGGGGACATGTACTACAGTCCGGTATAACTCGAGAAAGTCTCAAAGTCAGACCCATGCTCAACCGGACCGCAGCGGCCGCCATGATTCTGTTTTGGTCACATGACCGAAAGCGGCCAATGAGAAAAGAGTGCTGGCGGGTGACGTATCCGCTGTGACGTGCTGTGCTGACAGCAGAGGGCGCTGCTGCTTCACACACTAGTAACAAAAACACAGCATTTATACAATGCAGTGGATTGTGAGGGGTGGCAGAAGTGGCCTACTAAGATCCTTTGCAGCAAAAGTAGCATTATACATATACAGTTTGTTTGGTATGCATTATCTTCATCTGAAAAGTAGCTAAAGCTGCCAAATAATGATGTAAAAAGTATAATATTTTTCCTCTGAAATGTAGTGGATGTCAGAGGCATAAAACTGAAACACTCAAGTAGGCAAACAAATACCTCAAAATTGTACTTATTGTATAGAAATGACAATCTATCATGGAATAAAGAATATACCAAAATCCCAGCACCATTAAAACAGCAATATTAATTTGCTTCCATCAGGGTAGAAATTTTATGTCCCTAGAAGCAGTATCACCAGCAGCAACAGGTTACTGGTCATTTATTCAGAAGTGGAAAAGACTGTTCTGAACAATTTTAAGGTACTTGCTTGAGTATTTTCCATTTTCTGTTTCTTCATCCGCTACATTTCAGATGTTAATGTTATACATTGAACTCCACTACACTTTCCTGACAGCTACAGTAAGTGCCTACTTAATATATCCAAACAGATGATCATCTTATAAAATATGATATAAATACATGGTAAGTATTTGAAATTTGCTCCAATATGACCACCTACGAGTCTGACAAGCTCTTTACATGTTAATGCACCAGTGATAATAATAATAATCCAATAACATTAAATATATAACGATTTGAAAGTGGCCATTCTTCATAATTTTATAATTTAACCTGATGTTTCTATTATTACATTAAGTTTAAAGTTTATGTGATAAAAAAAAAGTATTTGTAATGAAGTGAAGGATTTGAATACTTCTTTCACCATTGCAAAATGTTATTTGGCCTTTTATGAGGTGTGAATGAGACATGGCTGTAATGACTTCCTCTTCCTGTTACTTTCTCAAGATACTTTGAGTGATAAGTGATGATGACACTTCATATTTTTTGTATTCATCTATCTCTGTCTACATGTATTTTACTAATCTGTATGCTCTACTTTTACTGGTAATGGAGTTTTAAATGTATTTTTTCTTATTTTACACCACATTTGGTGCTCCTGTAGGCTCCACTTGCAGCTCTGACCAGGCTGTGCCTGTTAAAGTTATGCTTATGGTTAAGGAAGCAGGTCTGCCCGTAGTTTAAAAAAGATCAAAATATTTCCACAAAATCCCATTCAGTGTTAAGCTCCATACTTGCCAATATCACACAACAGTAAATACATGTTCTGCCATGTTTATGTGTGCTGTAGACGAAGCTAGATAAGAATTGTAATGCAGGCTGGCAGCCGAAAACTGTTATGTATGACTGAGACCACTGGTGTGTGAAGGCAGAGGGGTGATGTTATGACTAGAGGCAGGTGAAGTGCTCAGGCACTCTGTTTTCTCTCTTTATGCACTTCTCTCTCCTTGAAAGCCACTTGGGAAGAAAGGACGTTATCCTAAAAAACCTGAGCTATTAAACATATAATCCCTCAACAGTGTAGTAAAACTCCCACAGAGGAGCATTGTGTTGATATTTGGGATGTGAGTTATAGACTTTAGTGCCCTATAATATAATACTATAGCACTATAACTTTTGTTTCTTTTCTTATCTTTCCTTCAGTGTCTCAGAACGATTTGGGCTTTGGGGACAAGCCACTCTTAAAGTGAGGTTTAAGATATATACTAACCCCCCATCTGGATCCTGCTGCAGAGGTTCTTTCCATGACCATAAAAAGTAAGTGGGGCACTCTCATGTCTAGTTTTTTATTTTATAGGGAGTGCTGGAAGTCAACTCACTGGCATATACATTATTACACTTTATATACTCTCAATCCACATAATGAAACACTTTTACACTTTCATGTATGTAGTCTTTCATACACACACACCTGCACAGGATTAGTGTCCAGGGACAGTTTACCTGTGTGTCTGTGAAGTCTGTAAATTTAGAGCACTTAGTATATCATTGGACCCTCTAGTCAGAGTAGGATCCTGCAGGTGTGTGTGTGTGTGTGTGTGTGTGTGTGTGTGTGTGTGTGTGCGTGCGTGCGTGCGTGCGCGTGCGTGCAGGGGTGTGGTGGGTGGAGGCTGTTACATGCTTGACTTGGATATGAAGTCGCCCCTAGCTGTTCCTTCAGATTACACTCCCCTCACTCCCTAAAGACTATGCAGGACAATAACTCATACACCTCCGCATACACACTCATACCTTCTTAAACCTCTCACAAAGACTTAAACAAGACATTTGTTAAGACAGAAAGGCACATGTAACACACACACACACACAGAGTAAAACACACTCTTCTTTCATACGGTATGTCACTCACCAAGAGACCAACAGCAACATGTGTAGACATTTTAGCAGTGATATAGCGGTCTGAATCTCCCCAGAGTACACCATGTGTATGTAGCTTATGTTTCCAAGGACATATAAAGCATGGAAAAACACATTTCCCAGCAGTCCTTTGGGTACCATACAATCACTCCCATCAGCGCTCACATTATTGTTTTTCACTTATTAAACTTTCCCTACCTTGCCAGTTACAACAGAATGGAGCCCTGGGCACTGTAGTTTGGGGTCAAACCAAACTACATACAATCCTGCCGCTGTAAACATTCACTAGATCACCTAATGTGTGTTAATACGCTAATGAAAATAGTCCCCAGAAAATTTAGTATTTATTCCGTTTTGAGTAAATGTGCGGAAAAACTTCAGTGCCCAGCAGTTTGAGGAAATGACTTAGCCTTTCTTTGAAATTTTAATATGTGTTAAGGAACTATTAAAAAGCAATAACCCAAGAGCGCCTGTGGGTTACAGTGATTTGAGAACAGCTAGAGGGCCTTGTTGGTTATGATGTAGAACAGAGTGCTTCACAATGCTCCTTACAATGGTTACCAGATATGCATGGCAATGTTTTATAAAAAATAATTTATCAACAACAAATAATCATTCATTCTACCAAAAAGCAACATACAGACACAGTGGAGCCAAAGAAGTTCACCACCACAGGTTTTATTAAATCCAATGATAGGAGAAAGGGAAAAAAATGTCATCATGTTGCAGTTACATTAAAAGCACATACTATGTGTCCACCATAAACAAATAATATGTTCACTTTCCCCAAGCTGCTTTTACTTGCCAGTGATGTAATTTTTGTTACAGTGAAGCCGGCTCACTTGCTGAATAACTGAATTACACTGTAACAAAAACCAGTAATTGAAAATATAGCTAACACTGTAAAAAAGTGCATAACTGGCTAACAACATGCAGGCTAGCTACACTGGTAACTTAGCATAGATTGTTTGTATACTTTGTCTGCTTTAGATGGAGCTAAAGGCCAGTAGATTTTGCAGCAGTAATGACAGGTATTTCTCCAACGAAGCAACAGGACGCAGTGGGTTCACTGGCTGCGCAAACATAAATCCCTGTAGGCTCTCTTGGTTTTGCCACATCTTTGTGTTTTTTTGTGCATTGATTGAATGACAGCATCACGTTTTTCTGACCGTTCTCATCCTGGCAGATGATGAATGATTTGGATTTCAGTTAGAAGTTACTGTCTTTAGCGCTGCATCCCATGTGCACATCGAAGCACACTTTGTTGATAAGACCCCCAGGTGTGTTTAGATTCAGTGCCTGGGAGTGCTTGATTTGCTGAAAGACGACTTCCTAAATTAACACTTGGTTGGGGGTTGGGTTTTGTTGCATCCCTCTTGCGGGTTTTAATGCAGATGTTGCTGGTGATAAACTCTGGATCTTTCAACAGACACCAGGATGGGCTGATAGGTGGATCACTGATGTACCGGTTCAGCCCTGCACACAGGCCAACATAACTGCTGAAACCATATCGCTCCCATTTCCTGTTTTTCACAGTGACGCTGACAGGGGTTAGTGTTACTTAAGTGATTGTTTTAAAATCAATAACTCAGATTGTTTTTGGAATGTCTGGTCTTAAAACAGTGAAGGGATCACATGGTCCCAGCTTTGTTTCTTCACTTTTCCATCTCTTCAGCCTCTCTTGTATTAATTCCAGTGTGTCTCCTTTCTCTTTTATCTTCCTCCTCGATCCCGTCCATCTCTTTCAACCACTTATCCACTCTTAGCGCACCCAGTAAATCAAAAGTCACAACAAAATTTGACATTTTGAAACAACACTTAATTGGTGCAGCATACTGTTGTAAAGTGGTCACAGCTGTGTGTTTATTGAGTATTTAACAATGGCTTTTTCATGCGGCTCAGCCAATCATAATCAAGGACTGTAACTATCTGTTTGATAAATAAAGTTTTACATCTCCAGTTGGAAAATGGATCTTGAGGCCACAGACTGGGAGTGGAAGTTGGAAATTCTTCAGAGATGAGCTCACACATTGTTGGTGTTGATCTTTTCATTGGATTTATTGACAATAGGAAAAATCTAGAATAATGGCAACCTTATTCTTTAATTTGGCCAATTTCTCTGTAGTTGAAAGGTTTTATAAGACCAAGAAGTTTGCAGAAATTGTAGAAATTAATGAATTTATATAAAGTCAAAACATGAAAGTATTAGAAGTTGGAGTTGCAACGTTTTTCCAGGTGTGTCAAAGTGTGCGAGTATGATTGCAAATGTCTGCATGCACATTTTAGTTCCCCTATTTAATGTTGTTTCTGGCTTTACTGTGAGTACATCATCAGTTATGATGATCTATATTAGACTGGCGGGTTGAATGACAGCAGCTGTTTCATTTGACTTTGCTTGTTTTACTGCCCTCCTTTGGGAACTGTCCGCTCAGAGTTAGCTGGATGTCAGATAGGTGTTTTTAAAGGGAGTGCAGAGTTTGAATGTTTCATGGACCAACATTGCCTTTAAAGCTGTTTGAACGATGCAGCCCAGTGCCAGCATTTG